GGTCAAACAAAGTCAGTGTTAGTAGCACATTACAAACTGAAGGTAAAGCAAGGTCAGTGTTAGTAGCACATTTCACACTGAAGGTCAAGCAAGGTCAGTGTTAGTAGCACATTTCACACTGAAAGTCAAACAAAGTCAGTGTTAGTAGCACATTACAAACTGAAGGTCAAGCAAAGTCAGTGTTAGTAGCACATTTCACACTGAAGGTCAAGCAAGGTCAGTGTTAGTAGCACATCTCACACTGAAGGTCAAACAAAGTCAGTGTTAGTAGCGCATTACACACTGAAGGTCAAGCAAGGTCAGTGTTAGTAGCACATTTCACACTGAAGGTCAAGCAAGGTCAGTGTTAGTAGCACATTACAAACTGAAGGTCAAGCAAGGTCAGTGTTAGTAGCATATTTCACACTGAAGGTCAAACAAAGTCAGTTAGTAGCACATTACAAACTGAAGGTCAAGCAAGGTCAGTGTTAGTAGCAAATTTCACACTGAAGGTCAAGCAAGGTCAGTGTTATTAGCATATTTCACACTGAAGGTCAAACAAAGTCTGTGTTAGTAGCGCATTACAAACTGAAGGTCAAGCAAGGTCAGTGTTAGTAGCACATTTCACACTGAAGGTCAAACAAAGTCAGTGTTAATAGCACATTACAAACTGAAGGTCAAGCAAGGTCAGTGTTAGTAGCACATTTCACACTGAAGGTCAAACAAAGTCAGTGTTAGTAGCGCATTACAAACTGAAGGTCAAGCAAGGTCAGTGTTAGTAGCACATTTCACACTGAAGGTCAAACAAGGTCAGTGTTAGTAGCACATTTCACACTGGAGGTCAAACAAAGTCAGTGTTAGTTGCGCATTACAAACTGAAGGTCAAGCAAGGTCAGTGTTAGTAGCACATTTCACACTGAAGGTCAAGCAAGGTCAGTGTTAGTAGCACATTACAAACTGAAGGTCAAGCAAGGTCAGTGTTAGTAGCACATCTCACACTGAAGGTCAAACAAAGTCAGTGTTAGTAGCGCATTACAAACTGAAGGTGGAACAGCGTAGTAACTGTGACAGTGAAGGTGAGATTCAGCACAAGAAACATACAACACAAGGAGTGTCAGACTCACTGGTACACAAGGAGTGTCAGACTCACTGGTACACAAGGAGTGTCAGACTCACTGGTACACAAGGAGTGTCAGACTCACTGGTACACAATGATTGTCAGAATCAGCAGTAGCCACATAAGAGGAATTGAAGGCCAAAAGATAATATCCTAACAATATTGTGCAAGTATACTATCTGACTGACTGAGTTTAGTTTTACGCCGCTTTTAGCAATATTCCAGCAATATCACAGCGGGGGACACCAGAAATGGGCTTGACACATTGTGCCCATGTGGAGAATCGAACCCGGGTCTTCGGCGGGACGAGCCAACGCTTTAACCACTAGGCTACCCCACCGCCCCGCAATTATACTATCACTATAATGACAAACTAAATAAAATCACCATTGACATAAGCAGGAACTTCAACGGAATAGTTCAACTCAACCGGGAATCAGTAGTGCATGTTCATTGTTTCTAATCATGTGACGTATCCTGCTACAGATTCACCAGTCTCCACTGGTTACTATCTAAAACCAGGTATTCCGTTAACACAATCAGTTAGAATCTGGGTGTGAACCAGTGACTCCAGGTTTCAAGCATCCCTAAGGCAATGTAAATTGAAAGGGTAAGTTTGCTGGGAACATTTGTCATCTGTCACTTGTGAACAGCTAATGCTGGTATATGCAGCCTGTAAACAATCAAGTCCGGGCCAAAGAATAACAAAAGGAAGCAACTGTGCAAATTGCGTGGTGAGACAGCCAAGCATGACCTGAAATATTTTGATAAAGTTGAGAAACAATCCATGAACATCTGGCACGATGCCAATTTGCCCCTCCCTACCATTATGCTGACAGAGTTCGACTACTTCCTGGTCCTGTTACATCCTCCTGATGACCTACCTGGTCTACCTGACCCTCCTTGATCTTCATTGGCTTGGCCAGGTTCACTCGGATTGTCCGCCCAAACAACTCTGAGTCATTCTGAACACAAGACAATTATCACTGGCCAGTAATAAAAACAACAACACAAATTTCATAACAAAACAAGTGAAACAAACAAATATTGTCATTTGTTTACATAAACAATGTAATAGTTGGGGGGCAGTGGGGTAGCCCTGTGGTTAAAGCATTCGCTTGTCATGATGAAGACCCAGGTTTGATTCCCCACATGGGTACAATGTGGGAAGTCCATTTCTAGTGTCCCGGCCGTGATATTGCTGGAATAATGCTAAAAGCAGCATAAAGCCACACTCACTCACTGTATTAGTTGGGAAAAATCTGTTTTCTCTATACACTTATTACTTGTTGCTTAATAAGAATCTTAATTGTATCAGATTGTGGCTGTTACAGAGTACATATGACACTTGTTCTTGATGTCAAGGACACAACCGTACCACCTAACATGGTGTTATGGACACAACCGTACCACTATATCATGGTGTTATGGACACAACCGTACCACCTAACATGGTGTTACGGACACAACCGTACCACCTATCATGGTGTTATGGACACAACCGTACCACCATATCATAGTGTTATGGACACAACCGTACCACCATATCATAGTGTTATGGACACAACCGGACCACCTAACATGGTGTTATGGACACAACCGTACCACCATATCATGGTGTTATGGACACAACCGTACCACCTAACATGGTGTTATGGATACAACCGTACCACCATATCATAGTATTATGGACACAACCGTACCACCATATCATGGCGTTATGGACACAACCGTATCACCATATCACGGTGTTATATGGTCACAACCGTACCACCATATCATGGTTTTATGGACACAACCGTACCACCATATCATGGTGTTATATGGACACAACCGTACCACCATATCATGGTGTTATGGATACAACCGTACCACCATGTCATAGTATTATGGACACAACCGTACCACCATATCATGGTGTTATATGGACACAACCGTACCACCATATCATGGTCTTATGGACACAACCGTACCACCTAACATGGTGTTACGGACACAACCGTACCACCTATCATGGTGTTATGGATACAACCGTACCACCTAACATGGTGTTATATGGACACAACTGTACCATCTAACGCGCAGTCATTTGTACTACCATACAATAAGGTATGCTACCTACCATGTTGTCTATGGCTGCAGCAGAATCCTAAAAAGAGAGACAAATTACTATATACAATAAAGACTTATCAATGGTAAGCACAGTCATAATATACCTGTGTAATGTGACAAGTATCTGAACAGCAACTTAGGATAGACAAGTAAGTGATACTTATCTGCTTATTATCAAAAGGACTTCCATTTCATCATCAAACTTTCAAAGGGTATTGAATATGACAAACACTAAAAATTACATCATGAAATAGTGAGTCAGAAGAGATGAGTCTTAAAACCTCTTGCACCTAATAAGTGACAATATATCTTTTCAAATGCAGGGATTGGAAAAGGCAGGGGCCATTGGCCATTTTGCACATTAGAATAAAAAATGGCCCATTAAAATTTTGAAGTTTACTATTGATAAAAGGGCAGTGGCCGATTCTAAATTCTGAAAATGGCCCATTGTCAAGGTTCTCTATGCCAATCCCTGCAAATGTAACCAACTCTTGTTTATCATGTTTACTGGTATATATACTTGTACTACCTTGGGTTTGTGTGTGATGTCACAACCATAACTACTCATACTGTGGTGCAAAGTAACATAATTCATAATCTAGTTGCACAAATTACATGCAGAATAATGGTTGCTTGTCCGTCCAAAATCTTTATCTTTTTAAGAGTTAAGTTACAAATTTGAGGCAATGTAAAACAGTCAAACATAACTTGATGAGATAATGCTTCAAAATCATACTTATTTTAATGTACTGAACTGATATTTCAACTTGTCTAATGATTCACCATGGAAATAACGGAGATAAAACATACCTCAGCAAGTTCAAACTCCACAAAAGCAAAGCCTCTGTGTTTTTCTGGAAAGAATACAGTGAAGTTATTAATTCAAATTGTGTGAGTGAATATTACTGGATGATACTTCAACACCATGGTTATTTCCTTGATTATGACTTGGACTCGTCATGCTCAAATATACCTCTTATCTACGAATCCAGGAACTTTTTTGACTATTTTGGCTATTCATTTTTTACTCTCTCAAAATGCTATGTTATATGCTGTTTTTGTGTAGTTCAATAAAATAATAAACATTTATTTTATATAATGTTGTATTATTTATGTTGGGCAAAATATCGTAACGCCAAACATATTACTATTATGGGCAAAGGTCCTCCCCTGTAAAAATTGATTCAACATGTTCTATGACCAAACTGTAGATTTGTCCAGCTTGAAGGTGATGGTGAGTCACAATCCTGTAAGGCGTGGTCTAGTTCATACCTGTTTCATAGTCCAGGGGTATCTGGATATCAACTATGTCGCCAAATGGCAGGAAGGCTGCATGGAGGACTTTCTCATCAACCTCCTCCGCAAGACCACCTAATACAAAAACATGATCAATAAATAACCACCAAAACACATTACAAAGCACACTATCAACAAAACAAGTAGTTGCCTTTAGCTACAGGTTAATTTGTTAATCATTGAGACTGATAAAACAATACACGTTTTCAAAAATAGAGAAACTTCATCATAGTTCATGTTCAAACCTTATTTTAAAGAAACATTCGTTCTGAACGAAATTTGACCTGTATTCAGTGTTATCCATGTGACACGTCACCGTCAAACATGTTAATATTTCAATTAATGTAATAAACCGTTTAATTAGAGATGTGTATGCGAGAAATAACGATTCTTATTACCGACGTAGACGATACGCTTGTTACTGGTAGCCATGCTTCTTTTAACCGGAAGTTGACATTCACGTACCCTGATACTTCCGGATATGGCGTGTCCATTTTATATTTCCCGCCATGACACTTCCCTGAGTGTTCGCTCTGTTCTCTATGTTTCAAATGATTGATTATTAGTGTGTAAAGTTATTAGATGGAAGATGAAGAGAAAGTGGAAGCTCTATCGAAAGACACATATGGACCTTCTTCAGTAGTAAGGTGCGTTTCAGAGTCAACTGTTGCTTTGATTATTCTTCAGCTGTTTTTGGCTATGTTTGATTGCCAGGATATGATTATATAGTTACTATTTGAGTTGTCACTGCATACTTGTAATAATATTAATAATTGTATATGCCATTTTAAAATATTTGTCGCAACTGTCATGTAATCTGCATTATTAAATTCAATGACATGTACATGATATATATGCCTAAATTTATGACATACGACAGCTGCTATAGAGTTGACAAAACACCAGCTTGTGAGATAGATCTAGCCAGCAATTCTTTTGATTTTTTCCATTGCATTCGTCTACTCATGTGTATGTGTGACCTGGAAATTGAAAGTATTGAGAAATGACGAATACCTGCCATAATTATATGTATGCAGGAGAAATAAAATATTTCCTGTTCGTGTTTTTGATTGTATTTCCACCATCAGCAGAACATAGGACATTTGCTTTAATGATTTTTGGGGTATGTGTTGTGTCTGTGCTTGTCCTTGAGGACGCAAATCATGTATTTTTCGCATTGTTCATATGACAATTTTTTATCAACCGTGAAAGAAAAGAATATGTTATTCCCTGTAACATGTACAATACATAAATGTAGTGAAGGTATTATTTCAAATGACAAAAAGAGTAAAGCAGCAATCAACAAATGATCAAACAACTGAGTCTATAGACTTTGAACTAAGGCAATGCTGTAAATTCAAGTTTCAGACAAGACCATGTGACCACAGGTAACAGTTATGTATTATATGCATAAGTTTTATTTAAGCACATTGACCGTTGTTGAAAAATTGTTGATTTGTTTGTTTTTAATTTCCAGAATTTCTTCCTAAGCACAATGTCAAAGCGTCGCTTGACTGAGAGTGACAACCAAGCCAAGAAAAAGCGTAGGCATGATGCTGGAGAACCTGACCCATCCATGGAGGATGAAGATGATGGTCCCATCAACCAGTCACAGAACCCTGACTTCAATACAAGCCCGGTAGGTTCCTGAAACGTTGGGGTGGAAGCATTACTAACAGATGTGCTGCATCATGGGGATTTTACAGGACGTTTTAGTCACCCCGCTCTATGTTCGCAATCCATGGTGATTGAATCAATTAGGGTCAAGCACTTCAGATGGTACCGCGGAGTGCACCTGTCTCGTGTACAAGAGACGATAGGCCATCTCGCGTACACGTTACGTCTCTGACTGATGTAGATATTACAAAAGGGCTAATGTAGTCACAAATAACAGTTGCTTAATTTTTTTAATAGAATTGTTTCAGCTGAGTTGTCGTCATTATGAATACATAAATATACTTTTCTTAGACATTGTTTATTTTTATTTGTTGTATGTTTTTATGTCAATTCAGTGACCTTCCCATCACTGTATGTTTTAAATCGACCTAAGCAAGACTACAGTTAGTTTTCTTCAATTGTTTACCAAGACACTCAAACATTCTCTTCTCTCTTATGTGATCTCGTTATTTTCAGGAAGCTGAAGTTGGCATAATTGAGAAAATTAGTGTGAAGAATTTCATGTGTCACACTCGTTTGGATGTCAACTTTGGTCCTCATGTCAACTTCATTGTTGGAAGGAATGGAAGTAAGTTGGTATCTTAGACTTACAAGAATTGTATTGGCATTGCAAATTTTATGGTATTCAAGACTTGATGGCAAGTTTTAGCAAAGGATACCTGGTTGAGATCTGTGAGTTCCCTGTAGTTGTACCAAAGCAAGATGGATGTGGTATAAGATATATATCCTCATAATCATTGATTATGCATATAGTGTCGTCAATGAAGCAATACTTAGATCATGTAGATAAAAGCAACTACTTGGTAATGCTAATTTTCAATAAATTGTAGCAAAATTGCTTCTCATTCATAGGAGTCCTGGAGTGTATTTTTTTAGCGAAAGGTCTGCTTGTACAAAAAGATATATATATATATGTTTATGTTTAGACATGTAGAGGAAATGGCAGTGAAAGGCTGGCTTCTGTTTTGACAATTGCCTACAGACAACATTTGACACCTCTAGTTTCACTCTGCCATCCGCGGTACAAAGTTTCATTATATGAGTAATGTAAAATACTGTACGTAGTTTTATTGCACTGTTTCCATTAGAAATCATCTTAAATCTTTTGTCAGTCCCACAATGTAGGATGCATATTAAAGATGACAATCTCTGACTCACCCCTTGACTTCCCCCTGTGTTCCTGCAATAGGTGGGAAGAGTGCCGTGGTGGCAGCGCTGGTTGTTGGCCTGGGGGGCAAGGCCTCAGTGACAAGCAGGGGCAGCACCATCAAGGGATTCATCAAGAGTGGGAAAAGGTCAGAGATCTTACAGTTTACACAGAGCTATGTCCTCATTTGCAAACATTTCTCTGTTCTTAGGTGTGTGAAGTATGTGCATTAGCATTTCTTCACTTATCTCAAGTCTGTAATATACAGTATTGTTGTTTATAGTTTACTCCACAGACTTAGATGATAGGTTTTGGATATTATTTTGTACATTTTCATCACATATATTTTCATTCCAGTTCTTTATTTACCCTTGGAACAGTTGTAATTCTCACATCTTACAGTTATATATATGCATGTTAATGGAAATGGTATGTCCGAGTTCAGGATGATATGTAAGAGGAAATTCTTTTTCATATATTCCTCCTTGGGGTACATATAAGCATTTAAATGTCCATTTAAAATCCCTACGACAGTTGTAACAATATTTGAATAAAATATTTACAAAACAAAGAACTACGAAACTACGTTTTGTCTTGTGAGACCACCCCTACAGGGCCCCGCAGACCCCTTACAGCCAAGAGCAGGTAACTCTAGACTATAACTTCGTACCTCACTTATCATGCTGTCGTTCTATCGACCGGACATGCGTCCCTTCTCAAGAGTTGAGTTGAATTCCTTTCATGATGAGTGGTTCGGAAACAGCTACTGTATGTATGGTTCTCTTTTCTTCCCTGCATGGGCGATTTAGAGATTGTTTCTGAATATTTTCATTCATCTGTTGTTGTCCCCCTCCGCAGCGCGGAACGGGGGACTATGTATTCAGCAGCGTCCGTACGTATGTACGTCCCGATTCTTGTTAATGCGATATCTCATGAGCTGTTGTACTCAATGTCTTCAAATTTGGTGTCAGCCTACATTGGGGGATTACACAAACACCAGTCGATTTGGGTAATCTTGACCTTATTTTCAAGGTCACCACGACACTTTGACCACTTTACAAACTCTTGTTAACGCGATATCTCATGGACTGTTGTACCCAGTGTCTTGAAATTTGGTGACAGCCTACATTGGGGGATTACGCAGACACCAGTCGATTTGGGTAATCTTGACCTTATTTTCAAGGTCACCACGACACTTTTCACACTTTTAACTCTTGTTCCCGCGATATCTCATGAAATGTTGTACCCGATGTCTTCAAATTTGGTGACAGCATACATTGGAGTATTACACTGACACCAGTTTATTTGGGTGACCTTGACCTTATCTTCAAGGTCACCACGATACTTTGACCACTTTTTAAAGCGGATATCTCATAAAACATTGCACCCAATGTTTCAAATTCAAGTATGTTGACAGCCTACATTGGGTGATTATGCAGACACCAGTCATTTCAGGCATCTTGTATGTGACCCAAAAATAAAAAGTAGTAAATATAGATATTCCATTCTTTAGCAGCAGAGGACATTGCCATATCAGTGGCAAACACTTGTTGTAACTTCGCTCCAGTCTGCATCGGCTGGCCATGTGCTTGTCAAGAAGGCGGACGGGAGCCTTCGCTATGCTCACTGTTTTTATTATTTGCCGGTAAGGTTCTCAATGTTTAGTGTAGATATAGTGTATTGATATGTACGTTTGCATGATATTACGCATCCATTTAGCGGGTTACAGTGTGTTTTCCGCTGCTAGCGTTTTACGCTGATAGTCATAATTTTTAAACTTCTCTCTCGCTTCGACTTTTAGTGGAACAACTGTAAACTTTTTTCCATAGGCCTCCTTGTCCATTTGCCCATGCACTCCATCCTAGTTCCTAATGAAGCTTGCAGCATGCTCCACTAATTGCCCACGTGACTACCTTGAATGATCATTCCCTTTCTTGTCGCACGACTGTGTGGACGTGCTGTATATTAGGGACAGTATTTCACCCTAACATCATGGGGAAAACAGATAATCAGTCAAGGAAAAGGAAAGTTTGTGCTCAATGCAAGACGAATTATTCATCCCTCGACCCTCACGCGTCTTGCAGTGACTGTATTGTACAATGTAACTGGAACAAATGATGTGGCAAGTGTAATTCACTAAAAGATGAGGATTTTAAGCCCTACCTCGTGTTTGCTCCCGGAGAATCGCCGATAGGGAGAGGAAATCAACAGAATCTGATCCCACTCCCGCCAAGCCTATCAAGTAACAGCGACAGAAAATCGTACCTTCACGCAAGAGAGCGACTGCTGTGGTTCAAGACCCGTCATCAGATTCTTACTTATCTGAGGACATTCGGCACCTATTATAGTCCTAGGCCAAATGTTAGAAAAGTCCCTATCTTTTAGGATCTCTCAGCAGCAGTAAAAGCGTTATCCAGTAATTGGTATGGCAACTCCCACCCTCCAGAGATTCTTGTCAATGTGGAACTAGACACAGAATGTATCAGGTTACTGAAAACAGACAAGGTTTACCCTGCTGTTGAAACAGTGTCCACATGTTCATAGACCAACTGCATGAGTATTAACCGCATGGTTTAATGGACGATGACAAGCACTGATGTTCAACATAATCAGGATATGCAGTATGGGTGATAAGGCCTGGTGTATCATATTACCTGATAATGATGTTATCTCCACATTTGGCCTAGGAGTATATTACGTACGCATCAGTCACCTCCTTCGTCAGATCACTCGCGGGTGGTTGTGATCGATAATTCATCGTTGCCTGTCCCATCTACACTACCAGGGGACCTTAGATCGACACCATCATCATCCAGATCATCAGTACATATTCCCTCGACTGTCTCAGTTTGTTTGGAGCTTGGCCAACTTCGTTCAACCAGCCAACTGTCCCCCCACATTCATTGAACCGGACAGAGCTGGCTACAACGGTCTAGAACTACAGCGACCCCGATCCAGATCACCTTATAGATCCAGATCACGTTCACAGTTTCCAGTTAGTGCATCAAATCGATCCAGATCACTTTACAAATCCAGATCATCTTACTAACCCAGGTCACCTATACGATCTAGATCACCTTACAGAGCCATTGACCAATCGGGATCACAGTACAGATCCACATCTCATGGCCGATTCTATTCAGATGATCGAACCAGAGCTCCAATCAGAACCAGATCACCAACTAGAACTACAGCGACCCGGACTAGTTCTTCATATCATCACAGGGCGGTGGGGTAGCCCAATGGTTAAAGGGTTGGCTCGTCACGCCGAAGACCCGGGTTTGAATCCCCACATGGGTACAATGTGTGAAGCCCATTTCTGGTGTCCCCGGCCGTGATGTTGCTGGAATATTGCTAAAAGCGGCGTAAAACCTAACTCAGTCAGTCAGTCAGTCAGTCATATCATCACCTAGCCATACAAGGGAATCCAGATCACCGGCTTACCAACCTACTTCGGTACTTACCACGTCGAGATCTCGATACAGTTTCTCTGACCGACGTTCTGGTGATCATTGCTCTGATACCACTAATGATCAGGGCCATATCCTCAGCCTGGAACCAAATACATCCGTCTACTCCAGCCCATCCAGCACCTGGCTCTGCATCTGGTCCACCTCCTGAGATTGATCCAGTCCAAATAACCATGCCTGCATCAGGTCTCAACCTGTCTTTTTCAAGCCTCCAGTGGTGGACGAGTGCATTTACGCCTCCATCACACTTGGTGGTTGTCCACTTCCTCTCAGGCTTCGGCCAGGCAGGGCAGGCGGCTTCCGCCCTTTCAAGCCAATGCCCCCACGCTTAAGTCTGCATACCATTCTTCGAGGAGGTTTACCGGTGTGCAGCACAACAGCTCCGTGTGGCGGTTCACTCTTCCCATGGCTATTCGCTGGCCACGCAGCTAACATTGCTTTCTTTCCCGTTCGCAATGGGGTCTTCCCTGTTCCCTGGGGCTTTGCAAGTAGTGCGGGAGGCCGCGGAGGCGGTGTCTACCTTCAAGGATTCTAAACCCTTGTTGGAACACCCCTCCACTTCTCACCAATGGCCTTCACCTCTTGCCTCCTCTTATCCTTCCTCCCCGGCGAAGGAGCCTGCCAAATGGACTGTTCCATTACAGAGCAAGAGGGCACGAGGCAAGGGCAGGCCTGCTCGGTCGCAGCGGCCTTTTCTGGGCTAGCCATCCCTTGGCTTCCCGTTGAGTCTCTCCCCCGTGCCCTTATTGCCCCACACACAAGCAAGCGGAGACTTGCCGACAGTGGGGGTGCATTGCCTTATGCCAATGTAGGCGACTGGCTGTCACTATTCCTTTGGGAGTGGGAAGCAGCCATGTCAAATCCCAGGGTCCACACTCAGGGATGGCCATTTGCCACAGTGGAGGTGAGATCCTTCTGCGGGGTTTGGCACACGCCAGTGCCAGGTTCCCGGAAGGTCAGCAAGGAGAGAGGTTTTATTCCACTTACTTCCAAAGGACGGAGGGTTCAGGGTGTTTGTAGTTCCTGGGCGACCACTGAGTCTTAGGCCGTGGTTGGAGCAGGAAGTCAGCCTGCACGTCAATGAGCTAGAATTGAGAGCAGTCCACCGGGTGTTCAAGAGCTTTGTGGAGTTTTTTCACAGCCGTGTGGTGCGTCTAGAGATTGACAACCAGACGGCAATGACTTACGTGCAGATGCTCTCTCACAGAGTATGCTAGCCCCACACGAGTCGATGCTCGATCGGGGCGTATTCAGGTCGTTCCAGGTGGATCTGCTTGCCTCTGGGGTGACGAACCAGATACCATTGTTTTGCTCTAAGATTCCGGATCCAAGGGCGGTAGCCAACATCGCCTTTCAACTTGATTGGATGGACAGGGTACTGTGGGCGTTCCCGCCGATACCACTGATTTCCAAAGTCCTGTCGCAGCTAGCCGCACAACCAGCTTGACTACTTGTGCTCCTTGCACCACTTTGGTCTGCTCAAAGCTGGTTTCAGGTAATTCTCAGGTTTCTGGCTCAGCCTCCTGTACTATTACCTTTTTGACCAGACCTACTATCCCAGAACTGAGCGCCCCACCCGAATCCCAGAATTCAGTGGGCCGCTGTCCGGAATCGCCTCCAAGCGAGAGGAATTCCTGCACCAGTTGCAGACACAATTCTGGCTTCGCGGAGGGATTCGACAAACGTTCAAAATGAGGATAGATGGGCCTGCTATGCTCGCTGGTGTGTCTTCAGGGGGATTCTTGATCCTTTTCCGGCAGATTTAGTCTCTGTGTTAGAATTCCTCCAGTCTCGGATCTAACGGCTTCAACTGTTCGAGGATGAGGATATTCAACGGCTGTTTCTGCATTCCACATTCCTGTTAATGGTGCACTCTTGGGGCAGCACCCTCTGGTTCAGCATTTTTTAGCAGGCATGGACAGAATCCGTCTGACTGTCCATTCTTGACTTTTTCCATACAGCTGTTGACAGAAGGCCGCATTTCTTGTGGTGGTAACTTCTGGCAGGCGGGTAGGCGTCATTCACTCTATGTCTGCTGACCCTGCGCTGACTTTTTTTCATAAGGACAGGGTTAGCATTCGGTTGCCGGATACTTACCGTCCTAAGAGAGATAGTGCCTTTCACATTACAGCGCCTATAGAGCTTCCCGCTTTAAGGCAGCCTTCCCCGCCCGGTACCTCTCTAAGGCGTGGTCACGTCTTAGATGTCCGTAAGACCCTTAAGGCTTATATCAAACGAACAAAGGATATTCGTAAGGATAATCAGTTGTTTTGTTATGACGGGAGTAAGACGTGGTTTTCCAGCGAACAAGCAGACTGTCTCTAGGTGGCTTGTCTCTGCCATTCGTATGGGTTATACCCATAAAAGGTTGTATCTCACCCAAAGGTCTGAAGGTTCATTCGGTTAGGGCAGTGGCCACATCTAAGGCATACACTGCGGCGCAGCTCATTGAGAAGATAAGCTCCGCGGCTATTTGGAGCTGACCAAGTACGTTCAACTGTCATTATCAACTTGACAGACACTCCAGCGAGCTTGCTCGGTTCGGTCACAGTTCTCTCCAGTGGGCAGGGTTCCACGTCTCTAGCCGTTTGAGCTTTCGAGGTTTTATGATGAGAATCAATTATCTGCCTTTTTAACTGGTGTTGGGTTATTTTAAACTATTCTACGTTCTCCCATGGTGTCAGGTTTTATGGTGGTGGTTTTTATCCCATGTACTTGCATTCCTCTGTACTGCACTAGAACAATTTCCTTGGAAAGCTTTGCTTGTTTCAGCAAATTTCTTCTTGGGTATATTGTCAGTTTTCCCTTATCTTCACTTCCGATTAATTACGGGATGGAGGGTGGGACTGTTTTGAAGCAATTTACATTAGCGAGGTTTCGCATGTTATGCTAGTGTCTTCGACCCCTGACCCTGGTTCACGCCTTCGCCCGATTGGCTACGGTGGGCACGTGACCAGGTAAGTGAGATTTCTTACTCTGTTTATAGTTTGGGAACTCCTCTTTTTGTCGGGTTTGTTCTACAAGACAGAATGCCTCTCCCGGACTCAGTCTTTAGGAGTCTGTCTTATGCTTATATGTACCCCAAGGAGGAATATATGAAAAAGAATCGAATAAACCTGTAGAGGTTGCAGATGCTTTGAATATATTCCTCCTTGGGGTACTGCTTTCCACCTCCCCACATTCTGTCTGATTATGTTCAGCATGGAAAGTGAGGTACGAGGTTATAGTCTTGAGTTACCTGCTCTTGGCTGTAGGGGTCCGTGGGGCCCTGTAGGGGTGGTGTCATAAGACAAAACATAGTTTTTTGTTTTGTAAATATTTTGTTCAAATATTGTTGCAGCTGTCGTAGGGATTTTAAATGGGCATTTAATTGCTAATATGTACCCCAAGGGGGAATATATTCAAGAATCTACAACCTCTTCAGGTTTGTTTGAATTTTTCGTGCTTGCAGCACTGGTGAGGTGCAGATCAAGCTGCGGAACCGAGGCCCCGATGCCTTCAGGCATGAAATGTACGGAGACTCCATTACTGTGCAGAGGAAGTTCACATCAGAGGGGAGCAGCAAATACCAGCTTCTCTCAAAAAATGGTAACAAAACAAGTTTTGTTTGTTGTTCAATCCTGATAGTTACCCAGGGGTTTACAGGACGCAAATCCTGCGTCCTATACACATAAAAATTGACAATGTAAGCAACAAAGTTTATTAGCATGTCCAGAGGGACTGAGAAAATGTCCAAATACTTTTTGTAAAAATTCCAATCAAGTGACAATAAGTTATCACTGAGTTTGCTACTAGCTGGGTTATGGTATTATTTGCAATTTAATTACTGTAGCAATGTGATGATCATGATACACAATACAATAACAGTATTAATAAGAGTATTGAAGTGTCTGGGACCCCCATTTTGTTGTCCAGGACCCCTGAAAATTAAGAGAATGAGTCCTAGGGACTCTCAAATACAGGACTCCATGTAAATCCCTGAAGTTACCTGTGAGACAGTGGTGGAGTGGATAGGGTCAACCTAGAGAGTGAAAGTTCGGTGGTTCGATCCCCGTTCAGGTCATACCAACACTCAGTTCACCTGCCTGACGCTTACCCAGTGTTTGATGTCAGCTCATTAGTTATCTCCCTTGTGTAGGTGTAATGGTGTCAGCTCATGAGTTATCTCCCTTGTGTAGGTGTAATGGTGTCAGCTCATGAGTTATCTCCCTTGTGTAGGTGTAATGGTGTCAGCTCATTAGTTATCTCCCTTGTGTAGGTGTAATGGTGTCAGCTCATGAGTTATCTCCCTTGTGTAGGTGTAATGGTGTCAGCTCATGAGTTATCTCCCTTGTGTAGGTGTAATGGTGTCAGCTCATTAGTTATCTCCCTTGTGTAGGTGTAATGGTGTCAGCTCATGAGTTATCTCCCTTGTGTAGGTGTAATGGTGTCAGCTCATTAGTTATCTCCCTTGTGTAGGTGTAATGGTGTCAGCTCATGAGTTATCTCCCTTGTGTAGGTGTAATGGTGTCAGCTCATTAGTTACCTCCCTTACGTAGGTGTAATGGTGTCAGCTCATTAGTTATCTCCCTTGTGTAGGTGTAATGGTGTCAGACAAGCGGGAGGAGTTGTTCCACATCTTGGACCAGTTCAACATTCAGGTGGACAATCCTGTTGCCATCCTGAATCAGGAGACAAGTCGCAACTTCCTCAACTCTAAGAGCCCTCAGGATAAGTACAAGGTATTTTCATACTTGCAGTTCTATTACCTTTGTGCTGTTAGTTTTCAAATTTGTTTCTAGATCAAAGATCTGCAATATTTGATGTGTGCATGCTGATGTGAGTGGCCAGCAGCATCATCAGGATCAGTTTCAAACCGTTAGCTTTATACTCTCTCTGTTCCAAACAGAGAATTACATAATGTGTTCTAGTGATATATTTCTACTCCCCATCTGTTGCAGTTTTTCCTGAAGGCCACACAGCTGGAGACCATGAAGCATGACTACGCAAAAGCCAACGAGCAAAAGTCCATCACCCTTGAGATCATCAGGCAGAAGGAAAGGGTATGAAGTGCCACACAACTTACTGTAACCCATTGCCTCTTCAACAAAACTACCGACATTTATGCCTGATCAGTGCCAGTTTGACTGATCCATTTCCAATTATCAGTCTTCTGAACTTCACTAATTATGTCAGAAGGCAAAAGTGTCCCCACCATTTACTCTTTCTCGTCCCTTTCCTTGACACCAGTCCTGTTGTGACCTATGTAAGAACAGTTCTCAAACATACTGTTACCATATTGCTGTTAAAAGAGCGCTGTGTGCTTAGAAAACTTTAAAAGGGGGAATGCTCAGGGGTGGAAATAACCCATTGCCCGACGCCCGAGTCCAGTGTTTTTTTCTGTCGGGCAAGCACATTTGTATATCACGCTGTACTATCCCTGTTAAATCATTAATTCATGATTTAGTTATTTAGAGACAGCTGCAAAATGGTTGAAGTATTGCTGTGGCATTAAATGAAACATACCTTCATCCTTTGTACCATACACTTAGTTTTGGGTTACTACATGAACTCACGCTAATGGTTCACTGTGTTCATGCCAGGGAGACAGGGAGATTTCATCACCACTGCCTTCAGGGAAGAATGAGCAATTTGTTTCCACCTCTCCTGTGTACCTGTTGCTTTAGGACACCGACTGTTACACACATCTACCTTGTAACCTCAGTATCGTCATGTTCTGACACGCTGCAAATAATCATTTAGATGGAACTGAAATAAGTCTTTCCTCAAGTGAGCTGATAGACCAAAATCTGCCAGTAGATATGTTTTTGGTGTGCAAGTTGACATGTCCATTGTTTGGTGTCTTCACAGTCTCTGCCTGTCTTGGAGAAGGAGGTGATTGACTGGGAACACAAATTCAAAAGTTTGGATGCCATCGATGAACTGAAGAAGAAAGTCAAACATTTGAAGAATGAAATGGCTTGGTCTTTGGTTGCTGCAAAAGAAAGGGTGCCTATATAATTTTATCATTAATACTGTTCAAAATATGAAGTTTATACAAATTTCCACTCAAAGCAAATTAGGTTCTGGATGAAGTAATCCAGACACCTTGGATGACCCAATCCAAAACCTTATCCAAACACCATGGTTTACTTAATCCGGACACACTGGATAACTTGGACTCCAGACATACTGGCTGTCCTAATCTAGGACTCCCAGAAAGACCAAATCCAGACGCTGGTCAACCTAATCCAGACACCATAATCAACCCAATACAGGCACTCTGGTTGATCTAATCCACATGCTCTGGATGACTTACTCCAGGCACTCTGGTCGATCTATTCCAGACACCCTGGATGATTACTCCAGGCACTCTGGTCGATCTATTCCAGACACCCTGGATGACTTACTCCAGGCACTCTGGTCGATCTATTCCAGACACCCTGGATGACTTACTCCAGGCACTCTGGTCGATCTATTCCAGACACCCTGAATGACTTACTCCAGGCACTCTGGTCGATCTATTCCAGACACCCTGGATGACTTACTCCAGGCACTCTGGTCGATCTATTCCAGACACCCTGGATGACTTACTCCAGGCACTCTGGTCGATCTATTCCAGACACCCTGGATGACTTACTCCAGGCACTCTGGTCGATCTATTCCAGACACCCTGGATGACTTACTCCAGGCACTCTGGTCGATCTAATCCAGACGCACTGGATGAAGTAATTCAGACACTGGTTATCCCAATACAGGCACTCTAGAAGACCTAATCCAGACACCCTTAATGGCAAATTTCAGACTCTCTGGTCACCTATTGTTTACACAATGGCACCCGTCTGCTTGTTTGCAGGGTTTGGAGCCCATCAAGAAGAAACTTGACCAGGAGGACTCCCGGACTCCCAAGTATCTAAAGAAGGTTGAGGAGGTGAAGGTAAAGCACCTACAACTTTTATTGACTCAAAAATGTATTTTTTGTTCTTTGTAATTTCTGATCTTACCCTTTTTTATACCATCTTCCACCATGTCGGCATAACACAGACAGCCAAGCTTTAATTCCTCAAAACAGAAGACTCCTGAATAGCCCATTTCCTTTAACATCTTCTTCAATCCAGCTTGCAATGTTACACCACTCACTCACTCACTCACTGTGTCATGATCTGGTAGGAGAACCTGGAGAAGCGTCAGCAAACACACAGACAGATCCAGGACCAAATCCTTGCCATCAGTGAGGAGGTACAGAAACTGGAACCACAGAGGAAACAGGCCAAGTCCAACATGCAGCAGGAGAGGGATGCAGCCAGACAGGCCCAGGTAGGTAGGCCATCATTGTATATAGAAGACCGCCTCCTTGGTGTAGTGGTTAGAGCTTCAGCCCGGAAGGACTGGTCGGCTCGGAGTCAGTATAATGTTTCTGAGTGGGGTATGCATGCTTCACTGCGGCATGGTATTTCAGTGAGCTAGCACTATAAAACCAGCTTCAGTCTGGGCTAGTACAAGCAGTCACACATGCAAAACACATGCACGTCATCATATGAGCGAAATATTCTCAAGCACGACGTTAAACCCAGTTTCACCTCACCTCACCTCATTGTATATAGACATACTGGCACAGGTGGGTAGACCATCATTGTATATATAGACATATGGGCACAGGTGGGTAGACCAGCATTGTATATATAGACATACTGACACAGGTGGGTAGACCAGCATTGTATATATAGACATACTGACACAGGTGGGTAGACCAGCATTGTATATATAGACATACTGACACAGGTGGGTAGACCAGCATTGTATATATAGACATACTGACACAGGTGGGGCAGACCATCATTGTATATATAGACATACTGACACAGGTGGGTAGACCATCATTGTATATATAGACATACTGACACAGGTGGGGCAGACCATCATTGTATATATAGACATACTGACACAGGTGGGTAGACCATCATTGTATATATAGACATACTGACACAGGTGGGTAGACCAGCATTGTATATATAGACATACTGACACAGGTGGGGCAGACCATCATTGTATATATAGACATACTGACACAGGTGGGGCAGACCATCATTGTATATATAGACATACTGACACAGGTGGGTAGACCAGCATTGTATATATAGACATACTGACACAGGTGGGGCAGACCATCATTGTATATATAGACATACTGACACAGGTGGGGCAGACCATCATTGTATATATAGACATACTGACACAGGTGGGTAGACCATCATTGTATATATAGACATACTGACACAGGTGGGTAGACCAGCATTGTATATATAGACATACTGACACAGGTGGGTAGACCAGCATTGTATATATAGACATACTGACACAGGTGGGGCAGACCATCATTGTATATATAGACATACTGACACAGGTGGGGCAGACCATCATTGTATATATAGACATACTGACACAGGTGGGGCAGACCATCATTGTATATATAGACATACTGACACAGGTGGGTAGACCAGCATTGTATATATAGACATACTGACACAGGTGGGGCAGACCATCATTGTATATATAGACATACTGACACAGGTGGGGCAGACCATCATTGTATACTGACACAGGTGGGGCAGACCATCATTGTATATATAGACATACTGACACAGGTGGGTAGACCAGCATTGTATATATAGACATACTGACACAGGTGGGGCAGACCATCATTGTATATATAGACATACTGACACAGGTGGGGCAGACCATCATTGTATACTGACACAGGTGGGGCAGACCATCATTGTATATATAGACATACTGACACAGGTGGGGCAGACCATCATTGTATATATAGACATACTGACACAGGTGGGTAGACCATCATTGTATACTGACACAGGTGGGGCAGACCATCATTGTATATATAGACATACTGACACAGGTGGGGCAGACCATCATTGTATATATAGACATACTGACACAGGTGGGGCAGACCATCATTGTATACTGACACAGGTGGGGCAGACCATCATTGTATATATAGACATACTGACACAGGTGGGGCAGACCATCATTGTATATATAGACATACTGACACAGGTGGGGCAGACCATCATTGTATACTGACACAGGTGGGGCAGACCATCATTGTATATATAGACATACTGACACAGGTGGGGCAGACCATCATTGTATATATATAGACATACTGACACAGGTGGGGCAGACCATCATTGTATATATAGACATACTGACACAGGTGGGGCAGACCATCATTGTATACTGACACAGGTGGGGCAGACCATCATTGTATATATAGACATACTGACACAGGTAGGGGCAGACCATCATTGTATATATAGACATACTGACACAGGTGGGGCAGACCATCATTGTATATATAGACATACTGACACAGGTGGGGCAGACCATCATTGTATACTGACACAGGTGGGGCAGACCATCATTGTATATATAGACATACTGGACACAGGTGGGGCAGACCATCATTGTATATATATAGACATACTGACACAGGTGGGGCAGACCATCATTGTATACTGACACAGGTGGGGCAGACCATCATTGTATATATAGACATACTGACACAGGTGGGGCAGACCATCATTGTATATATAGACATACTGACACAGGTGGGGCAGACCATCATTGTATATATAGACATACTGACACAGGTGGGGCAGACCATCATTGTATACTGACACAGGTGGGGCAGACCATCATTGTATATATAGACATACTGACACAGGTGGGGCAGACCATCATTGTATATATAGACATACTGACACAGGTGGGGCAGACCATCATTGTATATATAGACATACTGACACAGGTGGGGCAGACCATCATTGTATATATAGACATACTGACACAGGTGGGGCAGACCATCATTGTATACTGACACAGGTGGGGCAGACCATCATTGTATATATAGACATACTGACACAGGTGGGGCAGACCATCATTGTATACTGACACAGGTGGGGCAGACCATCATTGTATATATAGACATACTGACACAGGTGGGGCAGACCATCATTGTATATATAGACATACTGACACAGGTGGGGCAGACCATCATTGTATATATAGACATACTGACACAGGTGGGGCAGACCATCATTGTATATATAGACATACTGACACAGGTGGGTAGACCAGCATTGTATATATAGACATACTGACACAGGTGGGTAGACCAGCATTGTATATATAGACATACTGACACAGGTGGGTAGACCATCATTGTATATATAGACATACTGACACAGGTGGGTAGACCAGCATTGTATATATAGACATACTGACACAGGTGGGTAGACCAGCATTGTATACTGACACAGGTGGGTAGACCAGCATTGTATACTGACACAGGTGGGTAGACCAGCATTGTATACTGACACAGGTGGGTAGACCCAGCATTGTATACTGACACAGGTGGGTAGACCAGCATTGTATACTGACACAGGTGGGTAGACCAGCATTGTATACTGACACAGGTGGGTAGACCAGCATTGTATACTGACACAGGTGGGTAGACCAGCATTGTATACTGACACAGGTGGGTAGACCAGCATTGTATACTGACACAGGTGGGTAGACCAGCATTGTATACTGACACAGGTGGGTAGACCAGCATTGTATACTGACACAGGTGGGTAGACCAGCATTGTATACTGACACAGGTGGGTAGACCAGCATTGTATACTGACACACATTGAAAACACAAAACCAAATTCAAATGAGGAAAACTTAACAAACAACAATACTTGGAGGAAAATTGTTCTACAAATATGTTGAGAATTTCATTGTGCTTCATTTTCATAAAAAATGAATGCAAGAGTTCCGCCAATATGACTGACAAGTCCAGCGTCACACATGTTCATGTTGCTGCCTGTAGACGCATTGTCTGCCATCTGCAAATGACACACAGAACCTGGACGCATTGAAAAACACCCACTGGTTGGAGATTCATGGTGGTTGGAGGCTATGTTGCTGTGCAAAAAGGAGTCTGTTGACTCGATGACGTTGCGTAATGACGTTTCCCGATATGGCCCCTTAGTGCCACAGCCTGCAGAAGTCAAATGACTGTCATGGCGCTGATGTGGCGTCCTTTACGTCCTACGGTGTTTCGGGTGAGTTTGCTGCTGTCTGAAAGCGGTTTCTTTGGTGAACTCGTTGGATGTGCTGGTCTGGATGTGCCGACGTGACCGGAGTTTGTCCTGGTCAGGGAGGCCACGGACGCTTCCAGTTTGCTGATAACGATTTTGTGGTCTGTTGATGGTGGATGGGCTCACTCCGAAGTGGTGGGTGACCTCATTTTGTGATGTTCCCACCAACAGCATCCCGATAGCTTGTTCCCTCTGCTGTTCACTGAGCCGTGGCATTGTGTGACTGCTAGTGAAACCATAGTGCCTTTTATGCGTCCAAAACCTGGCTTTGCATGTGTGTGTCATGATAATCATGCACCCCAACAGGTCCAAGGGATATGCCAGAGTTGTGTTTTCATGAACTGTACCCATGCCAGAAACACGAAAAGGGTTCGAACCCAAATGTGCATATGGTTTTATTCGGCAGCCTCACATCACTCTATTTTCGTGTGGTAAATGAAATTGCTTCACAAAACTTTGTTAGAACTTGCCAAAATGGGGTTTGCGTTTTCAATGTGTGTCAGTATATATAGACATACTGGCACAGGTAGGTAGACCAGCATTGTATATAGACATACTGGCCCAGGTGGGTAGACCAGCATTGTACATAGACATACAATGACCCAAGTGTGTAGACCAGCATTGTATATAGACAGACAGGTACAGGTAGGTAGACCAGCATTGTATATAGACATACAATGACCCAAGTGTGTAGACCAGCATTGTATATAGACAGACAGGTACAGGTAGGTAGACCAGCATTGTATGTGGACAGACAGGTAGAGGTAGGTAGACCAGCATTGTATATAGACAGACAGGTACAGGTAGGTAGACCAGCATTGTATATAGACAGACAGGTACAGGTGGGTAGACCAGCATTGTATATAGATAGACAGACAGGTACAGGTGGGTAGACCAGCATTGTATATAGATAGACAGACAGGTACAGGTAGGTAGACCAGCATTGTATATAGACAGACAGGTACAGGTGGGTAGACCAGCATTGTATATAGATAGACAGACAGGTACAGGTGGGTAGACCAGCATTGTATATAGACACACAGGTACATGTAGGTAGACCAGCATTGTATATAGACAGACAGGTACAGGTAGGTAGACCAGCATTGTATATAGACAGACAGGTACAGGTGGGTAGACCAGCATTGTATATAGATAGACAGACAGGTACAGGTGGGTAGACCAGCATTGTATATAGACACACAGGTACATGTAGGTAGACCAGCATTGTATATAGACAGACAGGTACAGGTAGGTAGACCAGCAATGTATATAGACAGACAGGTACATGTAGGTAGACCAGCATTGTATATAGACAGACAGGTACAGGTAGGTAGACCAGCATTGTATATAGACAGACAGGTACAGGTGGGTAGACCAGCATTGTATATAGATAGACAGACAGGTACAGGTGGGTAGACCAGCATTGTATATAGACACACAGGTACATGTAGGTAGACCAGCATTGTATATAGACAGACAGGTACAGGTAGGTAGACCAGCAATGTATATAGACAGACAGGTACAGGTGGGTAGACCAGCATTGTATATAGACAGACAGATACAGGTGGGTAGACCAGCATTGTATATAGACAGACAGATACAGGTGGGTAGACCAGCATTGTATATAGACAGACAGGTACAGGTAGGTAGACCAGCATTGTATATAGACAGACAGATACAGGTGGGTAGACCAGCATTGTATATAGACAGACAGGTACAGGTAGGTAGACCAGCATTGTATATAGACAGACAGGTACAGGTGGGTAGACCAGCATTGTATATAGACAGACAGGTACAGGTAGGTAGACCAGCATTGTATATAGACAGACAGGTACAGGTAGGTAGACCAGCATTGTATATAGATAGACAGACAGGTACAGGTGGGTAGACCAGCATTGTATATAGACAGACAGGTACAGGTAGGTAGACCAGCATTGTATATAGACAGACAGGTACAGGTAGGTAGACCAGCATTGTATATAGACAGACAGGTACAGGTAGGTAGACCAGCATTGTATATAGACAGACAGGCCCAGGATAGGCAGAATACTACCCAGGTGTCTGAACCACTGTTGATACAAGGATTACAGTTTAATGCATCATTAAGGGATGAATAATTGGCTTAAGTTTGAACACCAGCATTAATATTTTACAAAAATAAGTCTCTTGCCATTTTTAACTTTGTTCAATCTGACGCCATGAATATTCCTTTCAAAAATTGAATGGTATATGTATCTGGTTATGGTATTATTGCCAGTTGTTTATGCTGGCTAGACAAGAGGTTTGAGGGAAGATGTGTTGTGTGACGATGTAGTGTTATGATACAGAATGAAGTGAACAAGACTGAGAAGGACCTGCGAACCTGTTGCCGAGATCGGGACATGGTGAAAGAGAGGATCGAGGAGATCAAGAATAGGTAAATGTGATACTAGTGGCACAAATGTACTGAATGGAAGCCGAAAACCTCAAATATGGCATCCAGAGAGACGCACTAAGTACCAAGAGCATACCAACAGCGCACAAAGAGTAGTTACCTGTGTCGGTTACTGTAAACGAATTATTTTTCACGCAGGTTATATTTTCGCACTTATAGCGCGAAAATTTATACACCGCGAATAAACCTGTCATTCATTCAGTCTAGCCACGCTCGCCCCTGAGTTGTTACCATAACACATCAAGTTGAAGACAGAAATCTACGGGAATCTTAAAATGACGACTGATAGTAGCATAAAGAATCATACTTAACTGTTGCTGTAATGGATTTCCCAAATCATAATGAAATAATGAGCCAAATCCCATCGCCGAATTAGCAAAAACAGCAATGTGTGTTGTCGCCGCCATGGAAATTGGTCACGTGACAGATGGTTTGATACAAAACAGATTGCCATGAAACGACTCTGAAAGAAATAATACAGCAGTATTTTATTTATTCATTAAGATTTTATTTACCAGTACATCATGAAGCGAATAGTCACTTAACACTCAATCATCTCATTCACAACAATCCGGCTTGTTTGAAATCACAAAGAAATATACAGTAGAAGTTAATTCGTCAGAATTCGGAACATAAGACTGATGTGTTTGTCATCTCTTCCGTGAGTAAACGGATTACTGTGTACTAGTATATGGCACAGATAGGGATTTCCTGTGAGTAAGCAATAAACGCCGCCTGACAGGTTAAGCCACTCTGTTTGTTTTCACTGCTATAAGTGGCGGCCAAAGAGACAGCTGGCAGTTCCGGCAATTACTGATTGCACGAATAATTGACCGGGGGATGTAGTCTAAACTGTCAATTCCGCGAAAAGTGCACCACGCGAAAATAAGTACGTTTACAGTATTTTACCTGTTACTCATGATCACTGTCCACATGACCACTAATTCATTCCAGGGTCCGAAATAATTACTGGGTATCTAAACATACAGTACTCTACACCATTTGAGTACTTTTGTAAGCCGAGGTAAAACTGTGTTGTTGAACGAAATCAGAAGATATTAATATTATTTTTGATATCTATCGAATTATCTGGCTTGATATATTTCTGAAATGTGTCTCTGCAGCTGGACCAAAAAAAATAAATCTGATTTCATATCTGTCGTAGATATCTTATCGAGCTTGACATGTAACTTCTGATGATCTATTTTGTACTGAAACTATGTGACAGTGCCCAGCATGACTATGAGGCTGAGCGGCGGGCTCGGCAGGACAAGATTGACCAGCTAATGGAGAAATCCAGAGCACTGGAGGGACAGCAGAGAACCACAGACCACCAGAAGAACCAGTTCCGGGATGCTGTCACCAAGTACACCAATGATGGCTACACTCTCAGGTAGGTGCACAGCCGTCTATAGCTGAGTTCCGGGATGCTGTCACCAAGTACACCAATGATGGCTACACTCTCAGGTAGGTGCACAGCTGTCTATAGCTAAGTTCCGGGATGCTGTCACCAAGTACACCAATGATGGCTACACTCTCAGGTAGGTGCACAGCTGTCTATAGCTAAGTTCCGGGATGCTGTCACCAAGTACACCAATGATGGCTACACTCTCAGGTAGGTGCACAGCTGTCTATAGCTGAGTTCCTGGATGCTGTCACCAAGTACACCAATGATGGCTACACTCTCAGGTAGGTGCACAGCTGTCTATAGCTGAGTTCCGGGATGCTGTCACCAAGTACACCAATGATGGCTACACTCTCAGGTAGGTGCACAGCTGTCTATAGCTGAGTTCCGGGATGCTGTCACCAAGTACACCAATGATGGCTACACTCTCAGGTAGGTGCACAGCTGTCTATAGCTGAGTTCCGGGATGCTGTCACCAAGTACACCAATGATGGCTACACTCTCAGGTAGGTGCACAGCTGTCTATAGCTGAGTTCCGGGATGCTGTCACCAAGTACACCAATGATGGCTACACTCCCAGGTAGGTGCACAGCCGTCTATAGCTGAGTTCCGGGATGCTGTCACCAAGTACACCAATGATGGCTACACTCTCAGGTAGGTGCACAGCTGTCTATAGCTGAGTTTATGGATGCATAAAGGTACATATGTACAATGAAGCATGACATATGAGATTATTGTGATGTGATGTGATGCACATTTGGCAGATTCTAACCCAAACTTGTTGGTTTCACCAAGGACGTAAAGCACTTTTAAAACTGGTGCAAACCAACAAGTAGCACATCTTGGAGAAACACTGTTCTCCCATCTTTCAATTTGATCAGGGCATGACTTGTGATGGTTTTGTTTATAGAATGAGCAGGGCATGACCTGTCGCTGTTCGGTTTCCATTCGAGATAAGCAGGGCATGACCTGTGGTTGTTGTTTTCAGGCGAGATGAGCAGGGCATGACCTGTGGTTGTTTTCAGGCGAGATGAGCAGGGCATGACCTGTTGGTGTTGTTTTTTCAGACAAGATGAGCAGGGCATGACCTGTGGTTGTTTTTTTCAGGCGAGATGAGCAGGGCATGACCTGTTGGTGTTGTTTTTTCAGGCAAGATGAGCAGGGCATGACCTGTTGGTGTTGTTTTTCAGGCGAGATGAGCAGGGCATGACCTGTTGGTGTTGTTTTTTCAGGCGAGATGAGCAGGGCATGACCTGTTGGTGTTGTTTTTTCAGACAAGATGAGCAGGGCATGACCTGTGGTGATTGTTTTCAGGCGAGATGAGCAGGGCATGACCTGTTGGTGTGTTTTTTTCAGGCGAGATGAGCAGGGCATGACCTGTTGGTGTTGTTTTTTCAGGCGAGATGAGCAGGGCATGACCTGTGGTAGTTTTCAGGCGAGATGAGCAGGGCATGACCTGTCATTGTGTTTTTTCAGGCGAGATGAGCAGGGCATGACCTGTCGTGTTTTGAGGCGAGATGAGCAGGGCATGACCTGTCGTGTTTTGAGGCGAGATGAGCAGGGCATGACCTGTTGGTGTGTTTTTTTCAGGCGAGATGAGCAGGGCATGACCTGTTGGTGTTTTTTTTTCAGGCGAGATGAGCAGGGCATGACCTGTTGGTGTTGTTTTTTCAGGCGAGATGAGCAGGGCATGACCTGTGGTTGTTTTCAGGCGAGATGAGCAGGGCATGACCTGTCGTGTTTTTTCAGGCGAGATGAGCAGGGCATACAGGACAAGCAGGACAGTGACAGGCAGCAGCTCAAGATGTTGATGGCTGCTCGCAGTGACCGACTCAAGCGTTTTGGACAGTTTATCCCTAATATCGCCAAGCGGATAGATGAGTTCCACAGGAAGGGATATTTCCATGAGAAACCAAGAGGACCTCTAGGTACCATATTCCGTAGAGTAGAATCTACAATTAAAATAACAGAATACCAGAATATACTATTTTTTGTAAAATGATAGTTTCAGATAATGTTTTTTTCCAATCTTCGTATGAATGTTACAGATTATTGGGCATGTTTTTAAGTGAATCACCATTAGATGAGGAGAAACCTGTGTGCAGCTGATTGCTGTTTCCGACTCTGTTAATGAGACAAATATACACAGAAATCTGAATTGCATGTTACACAGTGTCATATATTTTATAACCAGAAATATTGTTGTTGCAAGGGTAACCTTTACATAAGCTGACCCTTTTTTGCAGAATGCATTTTGTAGTCCTCCCTCTTCAGCTTAACTGCCGTCATATACGGTAGTGATAGTGTTTAGGGGTGGAACAGTATGCTCTTACCAAAGTACGGTACATATTGCGGTTCCGATTTGGTGTATGAAAACTTACTTCCAGGAAAATAGCAGCCGTCTAGCAAAGAAATGCATAGATTTTGACAAAATGATTAGATTTCTAGACATTTTTTAAAAGATTAATAAAATGATGGTATGAAATTTTTTACATTGCTTTACGGTATGCAAAATACCACGGTTCTACTAATAACACGCTATACCGTTTCACCCCTAATAGGTGTTTCTGTTGCTTGATCAGATAGCAGGGATAATGAGTGTGTAGCACTTAAACCCATTGAGAGCGAATCTGCTACCACTTGTAATGAAACTAAGATAAGTTGCAAATTTTATTCAAAGTACATGATGTTGACTTGCTGTACTGTTTCTTATTATTCCCAACCGCCTCCATGGTGTAGTTGTTAGAGCGTCCGCCCAGAGAACGGAAGGTCTCAGGTTCGATCCCCGACCGCGTCATACCAAAACACATTAAAATATGGGACTTGTTGGTCCCTGCCTGGTGCTTGGCAATAATGGGTACAACAAGGACTGGTCGGCTCGGGAGTCAGTATAATGTGTCTGAGTGGGGTATTCATGCTTCACTGCGGCATGATATCTCAGTGGGCTAGCACTATAAAACCAGCTTAAGTCTGGGCTAGTACAAGCAGCCGCACATACACATACACACGCATGCACATCATATGAGCGAATTATTCTTTTTCAGAGAGATCGTCCTTGGGGTACATATTAGGCATTTTCCGGCTGTAAAATGTCCTGTGACAGTTGTATCAATGTTTTTTGAATAAAAAGATTGTACAATAAATAAACTCTTTTATTTATTATACGGACCCTACCTCACGGAGTTACCTCCCTTAGCGCATGCGCACCAACTGGGTAGGCTCCTAGACCCGTATCATCATTCCTTCTGCTGTCACGGCCCTGAACAGACGTTCGTTGAGATTACCTTTCATGAGCCGTACGGCGCTGTATTTTAAGATGTCTGAGACACCACCTGTATGTTTGGTTTTTTATTTGTCTAAAACAATAACAGTAAAGCCTTACAGTGGTTGTTTCATAATTGTGACTTTGTATAAGTACTATCAAAATCACGCAAACTTTCCGCGGTTTACGCAAGTTTGTTCTGCCATGGCGGGAAGTTTAGCGCGTGCGGCGTGGTCGCAATATTGGCGCTTTAAAACCAACTATTACTTTCCGTGGTAACCTTCAATGCATTTTTCAATGTTTTCTCACGTGTTTATCTGCTGCTGGCCACAGTTAACTAACATGTTTACGGTTTGTTTCAGGCTTTTACCTGTTGTTCGGGTCTGTGGGGAAGTATCCCCCGAGCTGACAGTCACTCCCAATGCGTGGCCTGTCTAGAGAAGACGGGCCATGTGGCTGATACATGTTCAATTTGTCTGGCCTTTTCCCCCCGGGCCCAGAAGAGGCGGGCGGCCGACACCCTGTTTTACCGCGAGATGCGTGAGGCGGGAGGGGACCTGACGCAGGTTCCCCCGTCAAAATCTAAACGGGCGTCAAAAAGGAAAAAAATCCCGTGGCCCTTCCCCCTCTACTACCACTTCGAGTGGTTTTGACATGTCACTAATGGAGTCGATGTTTCAGCAGCAGATGGACTCGATGAAGTCCTTCGTCCGTGAGTCGGTTGGAGGTCTCCGGCAGGAGTTCCTCGCCCACTCCGGACGGGGGCCGGAGAGTCCGGGGGTGGGATCGCCGCGCTCGGCTCGATCCCTCAGCCTTGAGGCGCCTGTCGATCCGCTGCCTCTGGCTTCGATCCGGACGCCTCGGCTGCTCCGGGAGAGGGAGGTGCTCCCAGTCCCCTCGAGCTTCTGGCGCTGGGCCGCTGAGTATTCCTGGTATTCCGGTCCTGCGCACACCCGCCTCTTATGAGAGCGGAGGCACCAGTTCTGCCTGGCCTGCCTCCAGCGCCTGGGACCGGGTCCACGCAGACGCCGGCTGGCTGGCGTGGAGCAGTCGGTCTGTTCCTCCCTTCCTGTGGTGCCCAGCTAGGCAGTCCACCGGGTCGGGTTAGGGTCCTCTTACGGAGGAGACCCAGCCTCTGACTCGGGCTCGGACGCCGAGGCAATGGAGCTCGGGAGGTCGAGGAGCATGACGGCAGCTTCCGCTTTGCTTCTCGCCCTTCGCGGGAGGTCCGGCAGAGAATTGCCGAGGGCTTCTACCCCAGGCAGCGGTGCCTGCTGGTTGCGTGGACTCGACTGAGTTCCGCTTGCCTGGTGAGGCGCTTTGCCCCTAGGCAACCCTCACAGACGCAGCTCCGCGATTCTGCCATCGCTGGTCGCGACGCGGGTCGATCCCTCTTGTCTGGTACCCGAGTCAGGTTTGACTTACCTGAACTCGTCGCGGCTACCAGCTTGGGAGGATTCCCCTGTTCGTCGTAATCGCATCGTTGACGAGTGTGTTTTCACTTCCGCCGCCTGGGGGAGGCTCGCTTTCCTCGGGAGCAGCTCCGGCTGCTCGGCAAGGGCGCCCTCACTCCACCTTTTGCCCTGCGCCCTCCGCGCACGCTGCACCGACCTACGAGGAGGTCTACCGAACGCGATGCAGCAGGTGCGGTGGTGGTCCATGAGGCCTACCTCTCCTCGATACAGAGGTCGGCCCTGGAGGCGGAGGGGCATGCTGGCGACGCCGTCGCGCGATGTCGTGCTACTCCGCCAGCTGTCGGAAGTTCAGGCTCACCGCGCCAGCGACTCTTTGGCGGTCTGCTGCGCCGACGGTGATGTGCGCAGTCATGGGATGCGCAGGCTGTGGCTGTCGGCGCCTAGGTACTCGGCAGCAACACAGCAGACCTTGCTGGCTCTCCCTTTCGTCTGGGAGCCACCCTCTTTCCCGGGGCACAGCAGGTCATAACGGGGAGGCTGCCGCTGCAGCTACCTCTCCTTCAAGGATTCTAAGGCCTTGTTGGAGCACCCGCGGGTGTCTCACCCCCAGCTCCCCTCGCCACCTTCCTCCGCCGGGTGCAGCCTACACCGAAGTTCGCCGGCTGGCTTCGCCGCTAGCTAGGGGTAGGCGGAGGAGTAGGTCCGCCAAGGGTAGGGGCAAGGAGCAGTCTCGACTAGCTCCCAGCCTTTCGCTGGCGCTGGAGGTCTGCCCGACCTCCGCTACCCAACAGGCTGCCGCTCAAGCCGTGTCACACCCAGTCAGCTCCGCTACTAGGGTCCACGCGCCGCTTCCTACCCCATATCCTTAGTGGGAGGTCGCCTTCTCTATTCCTGCCGGAATGGGAGAAGGCTACCAACAACGCTTTCAGGTGCTGGCCACGGTCAGCATAGGCCATCTCCCACTGTGGAAGCGTAGGTCCGCCTCGACTTCACCGGCATACGACGCGACTCCGTGCCGCCATGCCAAGCCAGGGGCGGACATATTGCGCCGATCGGTTCAGGCTCTGCTGGACAAGTCCGCAATCGAAGCGATTCCACCGGGAGAGGAACAGGCGGGATTTTACTCCACGCATTTCCTCGGCGTCTCCGAAGAAAGACGGCGGGTTCCGTCCGATTCTCAACCTCAAGGGGTTGAATCGCATGCTCGAAGTACCATCCTTCAAGATGGAGACACTGGCGCCGGTGATCTCATCTCCAGTTCAGCCCGGCGATTGGCTCACGCCAATCGACCTAAAGGATGCGATTCAGATACCCATACATCCCTCGCTCAAGCAGTACACCGGTTCTCTTAATTTACGGGATGTATTACCAATTCAGGGTGCTCCCCTTCGGCATATCGACTGCCCCAAGGGTGTTCACCAAGCTCATGTTAGTCCCAGCTACCCTCGCCGCGGCTAAGGAAGGAAGGCGCTTGTTACCCTTACTCTAGACGACTGGTTGCTCGGAGCACTAACACAGCCAGCGAAGTCAAGATGCTACTCACACAGTGATAGACATTCTAACTCGACTGGGGTGGATCATCAACCTCAAGAAATCCGACCTGGTACCCACCCAGGACTTGGTTTTTCTTGGAGCCGATTCCAAACGTAACAAGGATCTCGCTTCCTTGTCGCCCGACCGGGTCACCAGAGTTCGAGGAGATGGTATCTTCATTCCTCTCCAGCCCCAGGCACCAGCACGGACTTGGCTCCGCCTACTGGGCCATATGGCGGCGAATGCATCTCTGTAGTGTGGCGGGCGCTGTTGAGGATGCTGGCCCCATACAGCAAGCTTTGCTCGGCTGTGGACTCACACGGAGGATCTGGAGCCGCAGTCTCACAGTCCCCGAAAGTGGTTGACACCTCACCTTCAGTGGTGGACAAATGTCGGGAATCTCACCAGGGGTTCCCTTTGAAATCCCGACGCCAGCTCTCACAGTTCAGACAGATGCCCCTCACGGGCTGGGGCGTTTGCAGTTCGTCGGCTTCGGACTCTGGTCCGAAGAAGCTCACCTTCACATCAACGCAGTTGGAGCTGAGAGCTGCAAGCGTTGGTATTCGAAGCTTCAGAGAGCATGTCCGGCCAGGTAGTCCGCCTTCAGTTAGACAACCAGACGGCCATGTCGCATATCCTGAAGCAGGGAGGCACAGTGTCCCCAGCGCCCTCGGGAAGCGTGGGACTTTCTCCTCTGAGCCACCAGCACGCATTGTCAGGTACTCCCCTGTTTATCTCCGGGGCTGGAGAACGGCGGCGTAGCAGATGCGCCTTCTCGCCGGATCCTGGCCCCGCGACGAAAGTGGATGCTCGACAGGCAGATATTCACAGTAATCTCCCAGTTGTAAATCGGTCGCTCGAGGTGGATCTGTTTTATGCCCCGCGGGACGCATCAGACACCCGTGTTCTGCTCTCGGATACCGACCAGAGGGCGCTGGCTGCCGACGCCTTCCTGCTGGATTGACGGGCAGTGCTCTCATGCCCTCCGCGCTACCACTCATTCCCCGTCCTTTCACAGCTGTCCACCCAGCCAGCTCGGCTACTTGTGCTACTGGCACCGCTATCCGGTCACAGAGCTGGTTTCCGGTAATTCTCAGGTTTCTGGCTCAGCCTCCTGTTCTATTACCTTTATGAATCGACATTCTCACTCAGAACGGAGCTTCCCCACCCAAATCCACGGATTCAGTGGGTGGCTTGGCCTCTGTCAGGTCTAACCTCGAGGCACGCCGGAATTCCTGCAGCAGTTGCAGACACAATTCTGGCTTCGAGGCGGATTCGGACAAACGCTCAGTACGAGGATAGGTGGTCCCGCCATGGCGCCGCTGGTGTTCAGATAGGGGCATTGCAGATCCCTTTTCTGCGGATTTAGTCCGAGTATTGGAGTTTTTGCAAGCTCGCTTTGGTAGAAGGCCTGGCGGCTTCGGATCATTCGTGGCTACTCCACCGCTATTTCCACTTTTCACACCCCTGTCGATGGTGCTCTTCTGGGGCAGCACCCTCTGCACAGCACTTTCTAGCTGGCGCTGAACGGATTCGACCTGCTCTCAGGCGGTAACCAGTCCACCTTTGGGATTTGTCGATCGTGCTCGATTGGCTGTCCGGTCCCACTTTCTCACACCCATCGGCTATTTCCATTCAGTTGTTGACCTGGAAAGCTGTGTTTCTGGTGGCGGTAACATCTGGTCAAGAGTCGGCGATATACATGCTATGTCGCCCGACCCGGGCGCTGACTGTGTTTCACACGGATCGTGTCAGCATTCGCCTCCCAGATACTTTATCGACCGGCAAGGTCGATCACGCTTTCCATGTGACAGCTCCTATCGAACTTCCTACTCTTTACCCAGCCTTCCACATCGGGGACCACTCCCACGAGCACTCACCCGCTGGATGTCCGTGAAGACGCCAAAGTCTATATCAAACTAACGCAGGGGATCCGTGACGGTGCCCAGCTGTTCTGTTGTTACGGTGTGGAGGAAGGTTGGTCTGCCAGCCGCAGCAAGCAAACTTTGTCTCGCTGGCTTGTTTCGTATTTGTGCCGCTTTATCAGGCTAAGGGCAAGCCTCCCCTGAGGGGTTGAAGGCTCACTCGGTCAGGCAGCAGCCGCGATCAAAGCTTTTGCATCGGCACTCCCCATTGAAGAGATCTGCTCTGCCGCTATTTGGAGCCGCCAAGCACGCTTTATATACTTACTTATCAGCTCGACACGCATTCACGCAATCGTGCTAACTTTGGTCGCATCGTTCTCCAGTGGACAGTGTCCTGCCACCCTGACCAAGTGAGTCTTGGTTTATTGGTTTGTGTTGACGCTTACTGTACAATGATTCCATTATTGACATGTCTGCGCTACGAGCACTCAGAGAACCTGTACCCCTTTTCGATTCTCTAAGGAGTTACTATATCGCTAGTGAGTGGTATTTTGTTTTCCCCACGGTGCTCTCATGAAGAAGCCACTTAGTGGGTCGGATTTCACGACATTCGCACTACGTGCAATGTCTCATTATGCTAGAGGTCGCCTCTTTGAGCAATAAATCCTCCTGTCAGTTCCCTCCCATAATGCATCTTCATGAAGCTTAAACTGGGTCGAAAGTGACAGGTGAGTGTTATGGCGCCTGTTCAATTTTTTTTCCATGATACCATCGCTATATTTTGTGTGTGCTTGGACAGAATTCCCTCCTCCCTGGCCTCCGGTCTTTGGGAGTCTGTGTTTATGCATATTATGTATACCCCAAGGACTATCTTCTGAAAAAGAATTTCCCAAACCTGCAGAGGTTTTCAATTCTTTGAAGAGAGTCGTCTTGGGGTAGGGGCCCACCCACCTCCCCAAGCACTTCTGTTCACTGATGAGAATTCAGCAGAAGGAATGATGATACCGGTCTAGGAGCCTACCCAGTTGGTGCGCATGCTCTAAGGGAGGTAACTCCGTGAGGTAGGGTCCGTATAATAAATAAAAGAGTTTATTTATTGTACAATCTTTTTATTCAAAAAACATTGATACAACTGTCACAGGACATTTTACAGCCGGAAAATGCCTAATATGTACCCCAAGGACGACTCTCTTCAAAGAATTGAAAACCTCTGCAGGTTTGGGAAATTCTCAAGCACGACGTTAAACTCAATTTCACCTCACCTCTTATTATTCCCCGACAGCGTGACCAACAGGTCACTGTTCAGATACTGGTTGTCTGGCCTGCAGTCTGGGAATGTTGTCTGGCTGAGTAGTTTCACACAAAGCAATAAGGAACGCTGTTTGTATTGAGGTGAAATTTGCTTGTGTTGTCAGGATCCTGTTTCCAGCTGCGTGACCCGGAGTGGGCTTTGGCCGTGGAGAGCTGTCTGAAGGCACTGCTGCATGCCTTCTGTTGTACTGACCACCATGACGAGAAGGTTCTCGAGGGCATTTTTGAGAGGGAAATCAAAGATGGAAGACACCCCTCTATCATTGTCAGCAGGTTCACTGTGAGTACAACTTGCAAGGAGACTCAGATGTATACAGTAACACCCTTTCAATGTTATCAGATGTGTTCCAGTTATCCCCCCTTCCCTTACCCCACCCCCATTCTTTTCCAAAAGAGATCCTCCTTAGGGTACTTATAAGCAAGACAGTTGGAACTATATTTTTCGATAAAATATTTACAAAACAAAAAACTTGTTGACAGTTCTATTATGGCTTGCTCGTGAAATGGATACTTTGCATCCTTGGAGACCCTTTACCTCTTGGAAGTTCATTTGAATGTATTTATTCCATTATTAGTTAGATTTTAATGCTACATATTTCCTTCCCTTTCAGACTCAATTTCATGACATCTCCAGATTTGTAAGTAACATTACAAAGTAATTAGCATTGAATTTCGAGATACATTGAATCATGTTGCAGTGTTATGTCAGATTTGATATGCCGCCAGAGGTGTAGAAATCATAACAATTCAAATTTGGTTTGAGGTGTCATACTCGTAACATCAGTTTGTTATCAAATTGTACTCGTCACTGTCATGATACTAATACATTTAGATGGTGTAGAATTATGACCGATTTTCATGTTGATGTTTGTATTACCACAGAGCTAGTTTTGACAACAGCTGTGTATTGTGTATTGTTTCCTCCCTGCAGCGGGGTCCAGAGTGAGCACCCCTGTATTCTGGACATGCTGAACATAGAGGACACTGTGGTGGCCAACACACTCATTGATCAGGTAGGCGGGGTTCCACAGGGGCCTACAGGTTGGAATGGGTCAGCAGCAGTATGTGCAGGTGACTGTGTCGCTTAGTCAGACTCATTGACTTGGTTTATTGGATCATTGCACATAATATCAATCACTGGATTATCTGGCCCAGATTTGTTCATTTTCATGCATTGTCACAAAGCTGGAATACTTTGGAGTGCAAGAACAAAATTTAGAATATATTGTCACAAATGGACAATGCTTGATGAAACATGCGCTTGTTGATGCTTTAGGCATCCACATTATTAGTTGTAATTAGTGAGTTTGAAGGCTATTCGTCATCTTGTGAATACTTACTACTTCATTAGAATCTATGAATTAAGATGAGTATAGAGGTTTTGGAATTCCTTACATAATGCTATAGCAGTATATGAAATAAGACCTCTCTGACAGCCTGTTACCTGGTAACTTTTGGAAGTTTTTTGTTTAAGTTTGCCATTTAAATAGACAAATTGGCACATTTGGACTGGCTGTTCTTCAAACTTGGTCCACCTTATGTTTCTGTCCCTGATTACACGTCGTAACCCACGCTTGTTGTAAGAGGCGACCGTGATGGTCCGGGTTAGAATGAACCTTCAGTAACCCGCTCTTGTCGTAAGAGGCTTAATTCCATGATGGTCCGGGTTAGAATGAACCTTCAGTAACCCACGCTTGTCGTAAGAGGCGACCCATGATGGTCCGGGTTAGAATGAACCTTCAGTAACCCACGCTTGTTGTAAGAGGCGACACATGATGGTCCGGGTTAGAATGAACCTTCAGTAACCCACGCTTGTCGTAAGAGGCGACCCGTGATGGTCCGGGTTAGAATGAACCTTCAGTAACCCATGCTTGTCGTAAGAGGTCGACTCGTGAAGGTCCGGGTTAGAATGAACCTTCAGTAACCCACGCTTGTCGTAAGAGGCGACCGTGATGGTCCGGGTTAGAATGAACCTTCAGTAACCCATGCTTGTCGTAAGAGGCGACCCCTGAAGGTCCGGGTTAGAATGAACCTTCAATAACCCATGCTTGTTGTAAGAGGTGACTAACAAAATCGGGTGGTCAGGCTCGCTGACTTGGTTGACAGATGTCATCGGTTCCCAAATGCGCAGATCGATGCTCATGCTGTTGATCACCGGATTGTCTGGTTCAGACTTGATTATTTACAGACTGCCGCCATATAGCTGAACTTTTGCTCAGTGCAGCGTAAAAATAAAGTCACTCACTCACTCCGTATTTTTGTGTTATGATAATTTATGGACTGAGTGAAGGTTATTTCTTTGTCAGAGATCTGTTGAGAATATAATCCTCATAGCTGACAACAAGGAGGCAAGACGTGTCATGCAGCATTGCCCTCCGCGGAACTGCAAGCAGGTACGGCTTCTATCTTCTGATTGTTGTTATTGTGTTCAGTATCCACATTGAGCAGCACAGAAGTGTGAGGTGCACTTACTTTGTGAGCCAACAGTAGGTAGACACCCCACAAAATTAGGCAAGCTTTGACAAGGTTGGGTCTACGCAACATGTCCTTATGGAGGCATCGCTCATTGTTATGCAAACAATGTGACTTCTTTTGTATGTGGAGAGGTGCCACATTTCAAGCTCTCTCTTGTCCCAAAACATTAATTGAGCTGTCTAATGATTTGTATCATGATTTCTACCGCAAGTGTATTGCAGACATACATTGAATGTCGTAGTTACCTCAACACAGGAGTTTTAACTTATAAATGTATGTATCATTATTTTATAAACACATACAAGCATTCAGTGATTTCAAAGAAGTTATTTTATTCAGGCACAAGATTCTGAGGTGATTTTTACTTCAAAGGAACTGTTTTATCAGAGATTGTGTTGGTGATTTGAAACTTATGATCAGAATAGAGTAATTCATAGTAAAATGTCTTGTCTTGAATACAGCTGGGCAAGAAGTATGCCCTGTCATTGTCTTCTAGTAATTCTCATCTTTCCTACACAAACTGAAATGTTTGTTCATAAGTTTCATTAAACCAAAGTCACTTGCCTCATATGCTCTTCTGAATTGATGCTACTAAGTACACAGGCCATTTTAACTTGGATTCAATAGATTTACCATCATATTTTGTCAGGCTTATACCAAGGTGGGAGATGAGATCTACTGTCACCCAACATTCAGGTATTACTCAGCCAATGTGGACAAAGCTCGCTACTTGACGGCCAATGTTGAGGAGGAGATAGCTCACTACGAGGGGCAAATTCAGTCCTTGCAGGGGGAGTTGGATAAAGTGCGTCAGCGACGCAACAAACTGACAGAGGACATTCGGCGAAATAAAAGTGAAGAAAAGAAATGCAACACTCAACTGATGAAGATAGAGGAGGCCATGCAGAATCTGCAGTTTGTGAGTTGATCAGAACAGTACTGACCAGGTGTCTGAATTATGGCATGCCCTCTGAGGACCTGGGGTCCATTCCCCACATGGGCACAATGTGTGAAGCCCATATCTGGTGTGTCTCTCTCTCTCTCTCTCTCTCTCTCTCTCTCTCTCTCTCTGTCTGTCTCTCTCTCTCTCTCTCTCTCTCTCTCTCTCTCTCTCTCTCTCTCTCTCTCTCTCTCTCTCTCTCTCTCTCTCTCTCTCTCTCTCTCTCTCTCTCTCTCAAAAGGCAACATGAAAATATACTCACTTACTCACCCATGGTCACGGGTGTAATGAAAAAAGGAGATAGTTCTATGGATATACAACTTCTCATATGACAGATGAATTAAGATTGCTCAAAGATTGAGTTGATGTTGGCTGTGGGGATGTAATGACCTTGGTCTCTGATGGCTGGTTGGAATCTGCTGATGTGAATGGCTTCCTGATCTTGTGGCCTGATCGCTGATAAGTATGTGGATGTGGTCAGAGAATACAGTCTTCGCTGAGTTTTGTGTTGATTCTTGATTCTTACAGGGAGGGGTCATGAATGTCACTGTGGGACTGATATATTTGGCAAAACTTCATATAAAAAAGACAATCATATATTTGGCCTTCACAGGTGCAGGCTATCATATAAAATATGATGGTGGGCAATCATATATTTGGCAAAACTTCAAAATCCCTCCACATATATTGTAATTAAGAAGATGTACATGTATGTCCATAGAACAACCTCCCGTGTTGTTCACATTGACAAGTATATGAATTCTGATGTATAAACACGCCAGAGGTTCAACTATCAGATTATACACATATATTTGTTCATATTGCTACAGATGCTTTATAGAATAGTTATCACAATCATTTTGATTTCAGGAGATCAGTGAGCTGAAAAACGTGGAGGACCCAGCTCCGATCGACATCGCAACCCTGGTGAGTACTCATCAGTCTGACACGGCCCTTCATATCCTGGTTCATCATATCCTGGTTCATCATATCCTGGTTCATCATATCTTGATCTCTCTGGCTGACAAGTCAGGCCAGCTTATATTTACTGGAGGATACAAGTGATCACATTAACACCTTGAACATCAGTGACAATAGATGTGTTGAATAGATTGCCCCAAACCATCCAGATAAGTCCTAGTTGGTAGTACTACTATTAGGGCGTTTGATATATTCACTCGACTGCTCAGTATGTTGATTTGAAAACACCTCTTGGCCCCCAGCTGTTGCAGACATATTTCAAACAAAGACGTCATTTCGGTGGACCATGCAGGCAAAATAGGGCCTTGAGGTTCTGTCATCATGATGATGTGTTTTATAAAAGTCTTGTAGAAGAAACTTTGACAGATAAGAAGGCTACTAATGGATATGTACAGATAACAGTTGTTTTAGGACCAAAATTGGAGCAGTAGAAATGTGCTTGGTCCTCTATTGTGTTGTAAGATACAGGTAGTTTAAAGCCACAGATGTGAACATTCTGCTTTTCTGATTTATGTTTCATATATATAAAATAAAAATCACATGAGTGTTGAATTGTTAACCATACCCTTTGTAACGGTTTCATGCAGGAAGATGAAGTTTCAACGTATGATGAACAGATCTCAAATCTGAAAGAGAAGCGTGAGGAAGTGACTAAGATTAGTTCAGAGCAGCAACTTCAGTTGGTGGAGGTGGAGAAAGCATATCGTAACGTGGAAGGGAAACTAAAGTCTCTCACTGATAGTGCTGACCCCCTCAAGGTGAGAACTCAATGGTACAAATATTGCTGACCCCCTCAAGGTGAGAACTCAATGGTACAAATAGTGCTGACCCCTTGAAGGTCAGAACTCAGTGGCACAGATAGTGCTGACGCCCTCAAGGTGAGAACTCAATGGTACAAATAGTGCTGACCCCTAAAGAAGAGAACTCAATGGTACAAATAGTGCTGACCCCTCAAGGTGAGAACTCAGTGGTACAAATAGTGCTGACCTCCTCAAGTTGAGAACTCGATGGTTACAAATAGTGCTGACCCCCTCAAGGTGAGAACTCAATGGTACAAATAGTGCTGACCCCCTCAAGTTGAGAACTCGATGGTTACAAATAGTGCTGTCACCTCAAGGTGAGAACTCAATGGTACAAATAGTGCTGATCCCTCAAGGTGAGAACTCAATGACACAGATAGTGCTGCCCCTCAAGGCGAGAACTCAGTGGTTCAAATAGTGCTGACCGCTTCAAGGTGAGAACTCAATGGTACAAATAGTGCTTACCCCCTCAAGGTGAGAACTCAATGGTGCAAATAGTGCTGACCCCCTCAAGTTGAGAACCCAATGGTTCAAATAGTTCTGACCCCCTCAAGGTGAGAACTCAATGGTTCAAATAGTGCTGACCCCTCAAGGTGAGAACTCAATGACACAAATAGTGCTGACCCCCCAAGGTGAGAACTCAATGACACAGATAGTGCTGACCCCCTCAAGTTGAGAACTCAATGGTACAAATAGTGCTGACCCCTCAAGGTGAGAACTCAATGACACAAATAGTGCTGACCCCTCAAGGTGAGAACTAAATGGTACAAATAGTGCTGACCCCCTCAAGGTGAGAACTCAATGACACAGATAGTGCTGACCCCTCAAGGTGAGAACTCAGAGGCACAAATAGTTCTGACAGCCATTTGTGATTCTATAAGTAAAGGATCAAAACCGACTCCGAGGAGTCTGAGGAACCTATGACCCGACCGAAGATATACTTTAGATATCATTTTAATATTTGGTATTTACTGTTGAAATCAACTGGGATGCAACTGGCAGCCGACACCTTGCCTTGCACATGCTCTGCACGCGCTACCTGTGTCCTGCATGGGCATTGCCCGCACTTCCCACTACCCAACTTGTGAGGCACACATGGTTCAAACTGACAAACAGTTTCATTCTTCACAGCCATTCTTCGTAGCTTAGTGGATAAAACCACCAAGCAAGTAAGCGAAGGGTTACAGGCTTGAAACCAGGTATCGGCACTATATATTGGAAGTTTTCAATAATGTGATATTTTACGATGGTGTTCAGTGATAGCAAGACAAGTTATATCAATGCTCAAAACAAGTAATAATTCAAAGTCAAGGGCTATAGAAAATCCCCAGGATGCGGGCAGTTCTGTAGAAAAACCCCGGGATGCGGGCAATTCTGTAGCAAATCCCCGGGATGCGGGCCATTCTGTAGAAAATTCAAGAGATTTCATGGAGAATGCCTGTGGAACTGCCTGGAGAGGTTTACTCAGTAAAAGAAGAACCATTTCGAGGTTTGAAGGTTTATAAGGGGCTCAGACAGAGCTCCCTCACTTCCTTCCTCTCTTCTCTCAGACCCTCCTCAAGCTGATTCCACAGAGAGCTCGTTTTCAGAAAGTCCTGTAATGGATATATTTCATTGTTTTAACTCCACAATAAAATGCAAATACTGTAAATCAATAAAATAATGCGAGCTACTTATTTATGCTAAAAATGCGACTATATCTGAAGCGCATTAATAAATCTCGCATTATTATATTGTCTTTTGCACTCGATATCATTATTACTAGTATTTTGGTCACGATAACCCGGTGAAAAAAGACGAACGATTGATTCACAAAAATATTCCTTTATTGACACATTAACATCGACATTATATTATATCAACAAGTAAAATACATTCTTGGGAAGAGAGATTGAGCACTAATCATTTAAGTTGTATTACAGTCTTTGAATAAACAGTCTAGTTTACAAGGTTTGAACTCACTGGACCACGTCCAGCAGACCTGCCAACTGCCATCCATGTAAGATTACCTCACGATTTCTGCCTACCTTTTCAATTGCTCTCTGCATCCAGCGAGCATGAACAGGTTTCATGACGCTAATCCTCAAATCAACAAGTCTGTCATCGTCTTTTGTCTTGAGATTACAAACTGAGATCATCCGTCTTTGATCCAAACGCCCATGTGTTCGGGGAATTAAGATGTTTACACTAGAGTCGGATTAAATACTAGTATAGTATTTCCGAAAGTTGTGAGTGTAGTCATTAGTGAGTATAGTCATTCTGGTCAACCATTTCCTGATTTGCCTCCTCGCATTAGTAAATGCACGCATTTTCGTTTTTAGGTTTGCACTCACATTATTTAATACACTCATTAGTTTGTTGATTTACAGTACATAAATGAAGTTGTGCTTATTGGACCATTGCCAGAATACCAACTGTTTTTGCATCCATTTGATTGTCTGATTTCACCTCTATATTTCTGATAATGAATTGTCCAGGAGGAAGACGGCCATGCCCTGAATGAGATTGAGGTGGCGAAGAATCACAAGAAGCATTACGAGGGCAAGCTGAAAGAACATGAGAAAGTTGTCAATGAACTCCGCAAGGAAGTTAACAGCTACCAAACAGAACTTGATGTAAGGCTTAGTACTTTGTGTACCTGGTGTATTGCCTGCTATGTTGTGTGTGTATTGAGAATGAACTTTGATTAGTTTTCCTGAGATGCATAGTGCCCGGCTTGTGCAACATTGATCAGTATTGCCTGTTATGTGAAAAAGAAGAATTGTATGTTTAAAGTAAAGCGGTATTGACATTTCTGTACTTTTATTTTGTTATACTTCTGTTTTTATGTGGGCATCTTGTAGAATTATCTAAACCTATTGATATATCAGACGTGTGTCCTCGGCTGGGGATGCCAGGGCATTGACATCATGCCAGGCAACTCAGGTGTTCCAACAGATTTTGTCATCGCTTTAATGACATTCAGTTATTACAATGTGTGAACTAGCGCAAATCCTTTGTCTTGTACAAACCACTAGTTACTGTGCCCAGACTGGATTATTACAGTCTCTATTTACTCACTATGATGGTAAACTCCTTTCACTCTCTGTCTACTATTATGGCTTTCTTGGTGGGTATTTTCTACAACATCTAATCCATGATCATAGAGACGTAACAAACAACCATGTTAACTGTTTCAGGCTGATATGGAGAAAGCCAAAGCCATCTGCCCCGAGCGGATCAAAACGAGACGGGTGCCCCAGAATCTGGAGAGCGAGATTAAACAGACAATGAAGAGGATTCTTACTGAGGAAAAGAGGTATAGAATTGTACCTACCTGCAGTTGAATTCAGTTAGACAGGGTTTCACTGTTTCAGTTATATCTGCAGAGAGTCTGCCTGTGGAGTGGAAGGTGTCAGGGAGTCTGTAGAGCGTGTCTGTCTGTAGAGAGGAAGGTGTCAGAGCTGGAGAGTGTCTGTCTGTAGAGCGGAAGGTGTCAGGGAGTCTGTAGAGAGGAAGGTGTCAGAGCTGGAGAGTGTCTGTCTGGAGAGCGGAAGGTGTAAGGGAGTCTGTAGAGCCATAGGAAGGTGTCAGGGAGTCTGTAGAGAGGAAGGTGTCAGGGAGTCTGTAGAGAGGAAGGTGTCAGAGCTGGAGAGTGTCTGTCTGGAGAGCGGAAGGTGTCAGGGAGTCTGTAGAGAGGAAGGTGTCTGGGAGTCTGTAGAGCGGAAGGTGTCAGAGCTGGAGAGTGTCTGTCTGTAGAGCGGAAGGTGTCAGGGAGTCTGTAGAGAGGAAGGTGTCGGAGCTGGAGAGTGTCTGTCTATAGAGCGGAAGGTGTCAGGGAGTCTGTAGAGAGGAAGGTGTCAGAGCTGGAGAGTGTCTGTCTGTAGAGCGGAAGGTGTCAGGGAGTCTGTAGAGAGGAAGGTGTCAGAGCTGGAGAGTGTCTGTCTGGAGAAGCGGAAGGTGTCTGGGAGTCTGTAGAGCGGGGGGTGTCAGAGCTGGAGAGTGTCTGTCTGGAGAGCGGAAGGTGTCAGGGAGTCTGTAGAGAGGAAGGTGTCAGAGCTGGAGAGTGTATGTCTGTAGAGAGGAAGGTGTCAGGGAATCTGTAGAGCGGAAGGTGTCAGAGCTGGAGAGTGTCTGTCTGTAGAGCGGAAGGTGTCAGGGAGTCTGTAGAGAGGAAGGTGTCAGAGCTGGAGAGTATCTGTCTGTAGAGCGGAAGGTGTCAGGGAGTCTGTAGAGAGGAAGGTGTCAGAGCTGGAGAGTGTCTGTCTGTAGAGCGGAAGGTGTCAGGGAGTCTGTAGAGAGGAAGGTGTCAGAGCTGGAGAGTGTCTGTCTGTAGAGCGGAAGGTGTCAGGGAGTCTGTAGAGCGGAAGGTGTCAGAGCTGGAGAGTGTATGTCTGTAGAGAGGAAGTTGTCAGGGAGTCTGTAGAGCGAGGAAGGTGTCAGAGCTGGAGAGTGTCTGTCTGTAGAGCGGAAGGTGTCAGGGAGTCTGTAGAGAGGAAGGTGTCAGAGCTGGAGAGTGTCTGTCTGTAGAGCGGAAGGTGTCTGTAGAGCAGAAAGTGTCAAAGCTGGAGAGTGGAAGGTGTCAGGGAGTCTGTAGAGCGGAAGGTGTCAGAGCTGGAGAGAGTCTGTCTGTAGAGTGGAAGTTGACAGGTAGCATGATTAGAAACATATTCTGTCTGTTGCTTTCCTTATCTGGTTGAAGAAGTTCTGATTGTCTGGATGAAAGGTTGTTCTGACATGGCCCGTAATGGGATGCCTCTGTTTTGCTTTTTTGCAAGAACTAAGATCTGAATTTAATCCAATTGGGTGTTAACTGTGTTTCTACAGCTATGGTGTAAACCATGTGCATCGTTTTACAGCCATGGCAATCCAGATGAAATCACAAGAAAATATCATGAGACACAGCAGGCTTTCAAGAAAATCCGCCGTGAAGTTAATCAGTTGAAGAAATTTATAGAGGTACGTTTTATACTGTTGTCTGTATGTGAATGTATGCTCATATACCCTACTGAGTAAGTTTTTAGCAATGTTCCAGCAAAAATCATGGCAGCGGACATCAGACATGGGTTTCACACATTGAACCCATGTGGGGAATAGAACCCAAGTCAAGTTGACCACAAGGCTACCCCATTGCACCCTCCCAGGTCAGGGTGTGGGGGGCACTTGTTTCATATCAGTATTTCACAAGTGTGAGTTCTGTGGCTATCCATCACCTGCGAATACATGTTCTGGCTTCACGACAGGATCATGTCTAGAATACATGTTCTGGCTTCACGACGGGATCATGTCTAGAATACATGTTCTGGCTCCACGATGGGATCATGTCTAGAATACATGTTCTGGCTTCATGACGGGATCATGTCTAGAATACATGTTCTGGCTTCATGACGGGATCATGTCTAGAATACATGTTCTGGCTTCACGATGGGATCATGTCTAGAATACATGTTCTGGCTTCATGACGGGATCATGTCTAGAATACATGTTCTGGCTTCATGACGGGATCATGTCTAGAATACATGTTCTGGCTTCACGACAGGATCATGTCTAGAATACATGTTCTGGCTTCACGATGGGATCATGTCTAGAATACATGTTCTGGCTTCATGACGGGATCATGTCTAGAATACATGTTCTGGCTTCATGCCGAGATCATGTTTAGAATACACGTTCTGGCTTCATGCCGGGATCATGTCTAGAATACATTTTCTGGCTTCATGCCGGGATCATGTCTAGAATACATGTTCTGGCTTCATGCCGAGATCATGTCTAGAATACATGTTCTGGCTTCATGACGGGATCATGTCTAGAATACATGTTCTGGCTTCATGACGGGATCATGTCTAGAATACACGTTCTGGCTTCATGACGGGATCATGTCTAGAATACATGTTCTGGCTTCATGACGGGATCATGTCTACTTGCATTCAGATAGTGAAACAAGTTCATGTAATCACTGATGGAAGTCAGATGAGTTACACTTTGTGCATGACCTTGAACATGAGCATATACTTCCAAGGTTACAGTGCCGTGACCACACACCTACACTATGTCCATCAAGAGGAGTTAGTGTCAACAAGGGTTCAGTGTGTGCTGTCAACAAGGGTTCACTGGGTGCTGTCAACAAGGGTTCAGTGTGTGCTGTCAACAAGGGTTCACTGGGTGCTGTCAACAAGGGTTCACTGGGTGCTGTCAGCAAGGGTTCAGTGTGCTGTCAACAAGGGTTCAGTGTGTGCTGTCAACAAGGGTTCAGTGTGTGCTGTCAACAAGGGTTCACTGGGTGCTGTCAACAAGGGTTCAGTGTGTGTTGTCAACAAGGGTTCACTGTGCGTTGTCAGCAAGGGTTCAGTGTGCTGTCAACAAGGGTTCACTGTGCGCTGTCAACAGGGGTTCACTGTGTGATGAATAGTTTATAAAGATGATTTTGCTTTTTCAGGAACTCATCTTAATGAACAAGATGTCAAGACATGTTAATTTGCATCAGTCATATTTGTACAATGAAAGTGCTAGAGGACAATATGTTTGAATTGACTAGGGTTTGTTGTGTGTTGAATTGCATCATCATTACAATTTTACTTTTTCAGGCACTTGATATCTCAATAGAGCAAAGGATGTCAAGATATGTGTATATTCGTCAGTCATATTCGTACCGAGTGAAAGTTCTGTTTATTGAACATACCTCTGTTACTAATTCCATGAGGGGATCTCTGTCTATAAACCATAAGGCAGAAGAAATAGTATTGAAAGTGAGTGTTCCCAATGTTGGACAACTACCTCATGGTACAGACTGTAACCTCCGACCCACGAGCTGTGTTCATTAGGGCTACATGGAAAATCGCCACAATACTCTGTGTGATCTGACTGTGCAGTTGTGTGGTTATACTTCAGTGTGAAACTTTCTGTGTGTAGTTATGTTAATAATGTAACATTTTCTGACTTTGGGGGGCGGTAGGGTAGCCTAGTGGTTAAAGCGTTCGCTCGTTACGCCGAAGACCCGGTTTGATTCCCCACATGGGTACA